TATGTTTGGGAACATACGTCTGCAATCTGCAGCGCTTGTGAATATGATGTACCTCCCTCCCTTTGCCAAATGAGGACAAAGACACCGAGTACAGGTAAACAATAGCCCATTTCAGGACCCGTGCCCAGGAGAACATGCTTACCAAATGCAAAGCTCTAGAGCACCAAGTGCCGGTTTGTGGACCCACAGTAGCCTGTGAGGATTAACTCTAGCTTTAAAATCACACGGCACTGCAGTTTGGCACAAAAGCAGCCCTCTACTCTGGGAGAGAGTATGCTATCAATATGTAAAAAGGTATTACCCTTGAATATGTGTATCCTTTTGCTGGTACATAAACCCTGCCTCAAGATATTCTTCATGAAATTCCAAGGAACATTTCTCAGTTCAATGACCATAAGAAATGATTCTGAATTATTCTCCACTTACAAAATAGAGGAAAAGTATTTTCTTTCAGTCCCTGTAAGTGGAGGCCTAGGGACATACAGGAGTCAGAATCAGAAGAGTCAAGTTTTAGATTCTGCTTTGAAATTTATCAAGATCTCCAAATCGGAGATGCTAGTCTGGGCTATATTCTTGCTGTCAAGGACTCACAGAACTGGTCCAAATTGAACACTGTTTCACTACATGGCAAAAAAAAAAAAAAAAAAGAGAGAAAAACATGTTAATGACATGCCACTGCACACCTCACCCTAATGTTGGCTTTGCCACTGCATGGATGTGAGTCTTGTGTTCTTCTAAGAAATAAACTAAAAGACTACATTCCAAGTGTTACTAAAATCTGTGAGATATATAAAGGATAGAAACAGAGTAAAAAAGAACATACACAAAGAACCCAGAAATGGGAGGCATGTTGATTACAGGAGGAAATAGAAGGAGGATGTAATTAGGGTCAAAGAAATAAAATGAAAAGATGTTTGTCTTTGCATTTGTGTTTAATGAGAGATAAGTTGCTTTCTTGAGCAGGTCTAGAATGAAGACCACATACAAACCAGGCAGAAAAAAACAATGGGAGTTGTAGAGGGCACTGGGCGGGGGTGTGGTGGGGGCTGGCTGGCATGACACTAGGAGATTAAAGCACCTTGGAGAAAGGACTGATGTGCATTTGTGGAATGGGAGAGAGCACCCTGTCTGAAACCATATTAGCAGACACATTACTTGGTGCTTCCCACCCTGGGAAAGGCAGGGCTGCATTTAGTGTGGTTCATGCTGTGTAGGGAAGGCCCACCTGTGGGGTTGGGGGTGTTAATGTGTCATGGGGCAATCTCCACATTAGCAGGTTACCACAGTGGACTGAAAGAAATGGACAGGAGGCAAGGTGCTTGGAGGTGAATTTCATGTGATTCATGTTGGTAGTCACAGAAGAGTGGGCTTTGGAAGCCAAGGCTGAGAAGAGAGAAGAGAATGCTCTGGGTTTCTCAACCCCTAATGAGTCTTTGGAGTTGCCTTTTCACAGGAGCCTGGAATTTTGTCTAATTGGATGGGTTTTTCTGGATGTTTCAAATATTATTCATGAGAGATGTTTATATTCATTATCTCCAAAGATCTTGACTAGGAGCTAGCACCTTGCATTTGGTATATCCTTAATGAATAACCATTGCCTGAGTGAATCAACCATGCTCCCAAATGAGGAATGTGTCTTACATTAATTAAAATAGGAGTCAATAATGTGCAAGATATAGCCTATATTTCCTTTATTACTGCCATTTGGCAAATTGAGGATGAAAGCTCTAACAATTCAAATCTCTCTCAGAGGTAAGTTTAGTTAACTATCAAGATAGATCTTGGCAGCTCTCTCTTGGGGTCCCCAAGGCTCACTAAACATTTTAAGAGGACACTGAACATTTTCCTAGTGGATGGTGAGATAACTCACTTCCAAGTATGGGAGGAAGTGCAATCTTGCCTGTTGCAACCAGCCAATTCTGGAATGAGGTTTAGACTTGGTGCTAAAGGTGTGAGGGGCAGGTAGCTTGCAGTCTGGCTCCTTTTTATTAATAGTTGACTGAAACTTTACCTTTCTATTTCAGAGGAGGTGGACAGCTTTTTTACTACCTTATGTGCTAGGGAAGAATGAAAGTTCAAGTGGAAGGGGAGGCTGGGAATAGGCTGCAGTTGGGATGTGAGACAAGGGTGGGAGGTGAGAAGGTAGGAGGGTCAGGCAGGGGTCTGGCTGGCCACTGTCCTAAATCTGATCAGTAGCATCAGGGATGGAGGTTAGCTGATGGTGACAGCGTATAACCTTGGAGACATCTGGCGGCTCAGTCCTTTGCATAAACCACTCACTTACCTGACAACAACAAGTCATAGGATCACAGGCTGAGGACTCTGAATAGAAAGGTGCCATTCTGTCAAAATGCTGAGGCCAGAGAACAGGGCCTCTAAACTTCTGAGATGTGCATTGGCCAGCATTTCCAATTGTCCCCTCGATGGCACTTGCTCTCAGCCACTAGTATACCTGCTTTGATCTACCCCAGCTCCAGACCATCAACTCACAAACTCATGTTTTCAGGATAGGCTTTTAATTCTGTTCAAAAATATTTTTCCATGTCTCTTTCTTGTCTTGTTTCCCCATTGCAGATTTTTTTCCTCTTTCCCCAGAGACAAGCTCTTACTCACAGAAGACAGTAACCCAGTGGTTCCCTTCTACAGAGCACACATGGTGGATACCTTATCTTTAATGCTCTTAGTAACCCGTGTAAGCTATGTGCTGTTATCCTTATTTTATTTGATTTTTTAGAGATAGGGTCTCACTGTGTTGCACGGAGTGGACTGCAGTGGCTGTTTACAGGTACAATAATCATCACACACTACAATCTTGAACTCTTGGCCTCAAGCAATCCCCCTACTTCAGCCTCCTGAGTAGCTGGGATGGCAGGCACATGTGCCCATGCCCAGCTTGTCCCTGTTTTATAAACAAGAGCTCAGTGAGGTCACCCAGCATGTGTTCTGGCCAAGTGCATTATAATTTATAAAGTGCCTCTGCATGTGTTATGAAGTTCTCTGACCTATGGATTGCATGTTATTATTATCTCCATTTCACAGATGGTAAAATGGAAGTTTTAGAGGGGTTACGTGACCTACCCATGTCGCGTTGTTCGTGGGTGGCTGAATTGAGTTTCGAACTTGTGTTCTCCTATTCTGCATCCCATGCTTATTCACAGTATTGTGTCAAGAAAATGGAAGCTTTCAGGCATAAACTCCCTCAAATTTCTTTATATCCATCTTTAAACTTATCTTAGTTTTTTTCCCTGCTCTTCCTTTTCTCCTGTCTCAGGAAGAAGTTGATTCTATTCTGTGTTCCTAAAAGTTCTCTCCTGTGCCCTTGAATGATCTTATTTATTTCCATTTCTTCACATGTCAACTCTCTATGCAACTGACTCTCAAATCTTTCTCGCTCTAAACTCCAATTGTTGTTTTTGACCACTTAAAGGGTATCTTTTCTTGGTAATATACTTTTATGTATAGACTACTCCCACATTCCCTCAGCTCTATACAATTAACTCTAAGGATATGTGGTTTTACTCGGGCAGTACATGTGCTTTGATGTCTCCATGCTTTTGCTTGTACCGCATGAAATGCTGTCCTTCCCTTTCTCTTCTTGTAGAAATTCTATTCATTCTTTAAGAATCAGTTCAAGTATGATAACTGTTACTGAATATTTCCCCAACTCTTCCTGTTACATTTAACGGTGTATTCTGTGCATTCCCAAAGTACTTTGTTTTTTGGGATAACGCATTGCTTATCGTATGAGAAAATCATTTGTCTCCGTCTCTGTCTCAACTTATGGGCTACCAGTACATTAAAGACAAAAAGGGAATTTTATTTATCTCTATATCCCTTGATGAAATAAGCATGGCCCTTGGCTAAATGTTTGTTGAATGAATAAAGGAATAAATAGATGCATGGTGATTCAGTTACTACTCCAGTGTTTCAACATACCCCTAGGAGGGCATGGTCTGATTTTGTTTTTTTCCCTCACCTCAAATCTTTGCTATTGCCCCAGGAATCTGACTTGCTTGCTTTGCAAAAATGCTGAGGTTTAAATGAAAAAAAAATTTTACCTGCCATGTGAGATCATGAAACAGAAAATGGAATAATACATTATTTTTCTTGTAAACACACTACTGTCATCTAGGTGATCAACATTACAGACATGCATCCCAAAATTAGAATTTATATAAATTTTTAAGATAACAGGAATTGATAATCTTCTATTACTAAATGCTTTCATCCACATATTACACAATAGTAAACCTCATTAGATTAAAATAATTAGTATGGAAAGGAGGAGAGGAAGATCTAGCCTGAATTATGGAAGTCAGAATTTATTGAAAGCAACATTGTTTTATTACTTTCAATACTATTACCTGCTAATAAAGTCTAAGGGGACATCTACTTCATGACCTTAATAATCCTCATTTTACAGCTGAATCTTTTTGCCTAAAGACCACTGTATGCTAAGGTCATGAAAACAATGTATTCTTTTTACATGGGTTACAAATATTCCATTTCACTTAGCAAATCCATTCCTTGCAGACAATTCAAAGCTAAATTTCAGCTTAGTCTAGATCAAATTGTCAAGAATTGTGTATTGGCAATATCTGAACTAATGAGGTTTTACTCTATTCATAGAGGAAGACATTAAAAAAAATAGACTATAGTGCAATTTGCCAGGAAATTGTTAAATACTTTTAAAAGAAAAATAGAAAAATATGTAAACTTTTTCAAATAAGGTAAACTCCAACCTATGTATAACTGAAATCAGTCTTCAGAGCCTTTAGTTTCCTTTGTAAATCCCTTGAGGACAAGGGTCATGGTTCGCTTGCTTTTCTCCCCACCCTCCAAGACTTTATGCCTCCAACGATGCCGCCTAGGCTGTGCTTTCTAGGGATGGCTATCATCACCAGAACAGGTGCTTAAAAGCAACACTCCGAGGTTTTCAGATATTCTAGTTGTTGCTCTGCTTACCTATAACTACCCAAGACTCAAACACTATGAGGAAGTTACTCACTGATTCTGGGTACAGGCTGCAAGTACTTCACTGGTCCCCATCCTGAAAAAGAAGAGGAAAGAAATTCATATATTACCATCACATCCAAAGACATTTATAAAACTTTCTACACAAAGATGCCTCAAAGTCTCTAATATTTTATTTGTAACAAGGAAAATCATGGGAAGGGAGAGGGGTCATGAAATAAAATCCTCTGTGTTTCTGGCCTGATTAAGCTTGGTGTCATTTATTAGGAAACCTGGCATTACCATGAAAATTTGCTATGGAAAAGTCTGGGCTTTAAGCCTGTGCTCTCTGTGGCAGGGAAATGGAGCTAGGGACTGGGGGCTGGGGAGCATTGGAAAATGACCATCACAAGGAAGACAATTTCCTTTGATTCTCAGCATTCCACCCCATCACAGATCAATGTGCTAACATACAATAATATTTTCACTTATTAATAAAATCGTTGTCTAAAATTGAGTACTTGGGCTCGATGTCTTCGGGTGAAGCTGAGATAGAGATGTCATGTGCAGCTCCTGGCGTTGAGTATTAGTGGCCCACTATTGGATGCCTTAGTTCGGGAAGCTTGGAAGAGTAAATGAACGGAAAGCTAGGACAAAAGAAGAGGGCTCTGAGGCAAGCAACCCCATGGATATTTAAATTATCCAGAACTAATGATAGTTTATTCTGTAGTAAACAGCTGTAAGAAAGAAAATCTTAAGGTTTTCCTTGAACCAGTGATTTTTCATGGTGATTACAAAGGGCCTCTTTCTGCCACATGAAGTTGGCCTATTGTAACATAGTGTATTTCTTCTTGCTCAGTCACCTATGGGGAGAGGAGAGCCTCAGCTCCTTCTGAGAACAATCTTACAGAGCAGTAAGAATGTAATTATATGACTACTTAGTTTTTGGCTTTTTGGGTTACATGGTTCCATTTCTTTCCTTAAAAGACATTTTATATATATGTATATATAAAATATATATTATATATAATACAACATATTATAACATATATACTTATGTCATACCATATATTTTATATAATATATAACTATAATGAAATATATATTATATAATACATTTACTTATATATTATATATTAATATATATTCTATTCTATATTTTATAAATATGTATGTAATGTTTTGCTCTCTGCATGCCTTTTAAAAACAATCTTTCAAAATATGTTGACTAAAACGTGACTAAGTACTAAAGGATGGTGTGGCTTAAGAAATGGTAGGATTAATCGTCCGTCCTGCTAGCCTGCCCCACTTAAATCACCTAGTCTCAGTGTGATTCATTTATAATGTTGCTTTGCTAACCCTAATTGAAATAAAAATCTTATTGGCACTTTTCTTTTAAATTATTTTTTAGCAAATTTCACGTGTGCCAAAAAAATACCAGTTTACACTGTCCATTCTACTTGAGTTAGTAATATTTGCATTTTGGAGGCAGGTATTTATGAGTCATATAGCTCATCAGTAAGTTACAGGTCCTTAAGTACAACTGATCCCCAGGAGCTGGACCTGGATATGTAATGCATTGCTCCCACCCACTTCATGGTAATTGCAACTCTATATTTACCCGTTCACCCAGGTAATGGTAGCATGATTAAGGTAAGGTCACACTGTCATGGCTTGGTGATAAGAATATTGTTTAGACTAGAACTCAAAATCTTCCTCCATACAAAATTGATTTTATCTAGCATATTATCATTATTTATGTAGGCTGTCACTGAATCAAGGAAGAAAGTTAAATTGGTATGGAAAAACTGGTTATTCAAAAAGTCACGTCTGTCTGCTTCTTTATATCCTGCAATATTCTGGTCAGTTGCTTATTGATTATATGAGAGATTGTTCTCATCAGACATTGTTTTTAAGCTATCTGACTTATAACAATCAAGTCATTTCCTTAAAAACTGTGGACATGACAGGCTCTTTCCTCCATCTCCATGATGGCTCCAATATGAAGGTTGTGCAAATCTGGCAATTTCTTAAGGGTGTCTGGAAACCTGATATTAGGGCATTACGATGAGAGTACACTCAGGTACTGGTAATTCTTCCCTTATCTAATTTGTCCCTCCACACATCATGGATGGAAGTATACTAGTTAGATGAATGCCTTTCTCCCCAACTATAGCAAATTCATTGAACACTGGGATGATCCAGTCTGGTTCCTCTTTTTAACTTCTCTGAGCCTAGTTTAGTCTTATGCATATATATTGAATTAACCTAAATTTTTGAAAGAGCTATTTCTTTAAGGATCGATTAAATGGCAGGGAAATAAATACAATTTATTTTTTATCTTTTGAATTGTCTCCTAAGGAAAAGTATCCTCTCCCACCTCTCAGTAATAGTAATAGAGTATATAGCTCTTTAAAGGCTTTAACTATATCTTTTAAATCATTGTTATTTTTCTCTATATTTGTATGTAATAAATATGTAGGATGTTGGGCTCAGTCCACACAATCAATACAGACTGACTAGCTACAAGATCATGTACTGAATAGCTATGCATATTCTTCCACGGTCAACTGTGAAAATAACTTGAAACCCCAACAATGGGGATTGCTTCACAAACAGAAATTAATTGGGTTTGGCCAGAGCCACTAAAATTAATGAGTTTAAACCTCACATCCAGTATATCTGTTCTTATATTGCCTTTACAAGATTGAAAAAGAATTAAAACTTAATTTAGTTGTACATATAATCGAATAAAATAGGATCTTTCCCTTTCATCCCATAACTTATTCTGATCATTGTTGTTTTTTGTGGTGAAGCATGTTTTACCTGTTGAAACTTGGCACAAACATCGTAATAAGTGAATAGGTCTAGAGCTTTGATGAAAATTTAATTTTTTAAAAAATTAGCATTTCACTGATCCTTATCCTGAGGGTTTGAGCCTCACACAGCACTGAGCCAGGCAGAGCTCACACTCAAGTGAGAGAACACAAATACAACCATAGCGTACTTTTCTCAAAGAATTCAAAATAATTCTTCTGGCCATGTGATAAATTAATTTAGTTGTTTGTCATCATCCTTATCTAACTGAGAATACAAGGATAGGAAAAGGTTAGAGAGCTTCCTAAGGCTATGTGGCAGTTTGTTGTTAAAATTGAAATAGGGTTACATTTGGAATGCCAAGGCCTTATTTTCAATAATGAACCAGGATTTGTTTTTCCAGCTAAACGTTGTAGATATTTGATCATCAATATCCTCTTAATTTTACACACGGATATTTGGATGCAAAGAAAAAAATCATCACAGTGAAGTTTAGGTCCTTAGGTCACTGGGTTTAAAAGTTTATCCCAATATTTTCTTTTGAAGTATTGATTTGGTCTCACCTTGCCTTTTGTTTTATCTTTTCTTTTAAAATTGCCTGGATGCGCAATTATTAAATGAATAATAACCACAATAACAGCTAACATGGATTGAATGCTTATTAAATATCAGGCATGCTGCTAAGTGTGTTATATGAACCTTATCTAATTTAGTATCATAAGAATCCCCTGGAAATACTGCCAGGATTTCCACATACAGAATATAGCCACATATTTCCAGTTCTGCATTTTCTTACATAAACTATACCCATAATCATCATCTATATTTCTCAGTTTCTGCTTCATTAGATTGAAAAAGGCACAAAGCAGAATCCTTTTAGATTTAAGTTTTTACCCAATATTTTACCACTATCTTGCTCACATATAATTCTATAGCCTTTATTTTATTTTATTTTGTATTTTTTTGAGGCAGAGTCTTGCTCTGTCACCCAGGCAGGAGTGCAGTAGCATGATCTCGGCTCACTGCAACCTCTGCCCACTGCAACCTCCGCCTCTCGGGTTCAAGCGATTCTCCTGCCTCAGCCTCCTGAGTAGCTGGGATTACAGGCTTGTGCCACCATGTCCAGTTAATTTTTGTATTTTTAGTAGAGATGGATTTTCACCAAGTTGGTCAGGCTAGTCTTGAACTCTTGACCTCGTGATCCTCCCGCCTCGGCCTCCCAAAGTGCTGGGATTACAGGTGTGAGCCACTGTACCTGACCTATAGCCTTTCATTTTTAGTAACTCAACTTTATTGAGTCTTTACAAAACATTTTAATAGAAATAGCAATTCTTTTACACACCCATATGTCACTGGTTACATAATTATCATTGAATAATTATATGAATGAGTAAAACTGGCACAGCAGATCTGGGGACAAACACCACTGACTCTCGGTCCACATACATCTTCACAGGAGGGATCAGGAGTTTGCTGGAGGGCTAGAGGGCATCCGGTCCTGATCTGGCTGTCAGCATCAATCGGTAGGATATATTGAGGGAATGGAGAGAGTTGCTTAATCAGGCAAAACACTTAAGAGGCCAGTAAAAGTAACTTCTATTGTATTTTATACTTTACCTATGTATGCACTTGATAAAATGTGTTACTTTGATAAAATTATTAAAAAGTTTAAAATGGAAGGACAAGGAGGAAGAGAATGAGTTTAGGTGTCCTACCCAAGATTGCAAAACTAGTGGTGGAACTAGAATTTGACGCCTGAATTTGGCCGCCGAGTCTAGAATTCTTTTGCTGCCTCACATTATGCCTTAGGACAGAGATGACTGTGGTGGGCTGGGTGTGCTGCTGCAGACCAGAAAGGGGGCTCAAGACAGTTCTCCTAGTCAGCAGGAGAACAGAGCGAAAGAAGATAGAAGAAACCACAAAGTGATGAAATAGACTTAGAAAAAAGACGATTCTTGCAAAAGAAGAGCACTGTGATTCTGTTTTCCTTGAGTCAATCCATGTATTTCTTGACTTCGTACCTCACTGGTTCAAAACAAAAGGGGTTTAGCATACAAATTTTGCTAGTAGAACTGGTTTTTCTAACTCTAAAATTGAAGAAATGTTGAAAGGGCATCGGGTCTCTCCAGCAAACAATAACAACACAGAAGAACCCAAGACTCAGTGGTCCCATGGGGAACCAAGGGTGGGATAAAGCTTATGGAAATTTGTGACCAAAAATAGCAATTCCAATGAAGTACAGTTGTCCCTCGGTATCTGTGATGGATTGGTTCTGGGGCA